ATATATATATATAACTAGATGTGTTCAATACTTTTTCCAAGCCATTTTACATGCCATGCGGAAAAGGTGAAAAGTATGCACTGACAATTTGTATCGGTGCACACAAATTACATAGTAATTTGTACAAACTAATATGGAAATTCGAGTCGATATCGATATCCGGTATCAATATTGCCACTATGATAGATAACTGATATTTACCAATATCGTATATTATTTTACTACCATTTTGACACCTTTTTCAAACACGACCACACCGCTGTCTTCGCCACAGCTTTATTGCTGATACAGATTTGTTACAAAATGACTAGCATTGACCTATATCAATGTTATTGCCGATATATCGCACATTCATTTGGGACAATTGCTTTGATATTTGTGGATTTTGTTTTTCTTACATGCTTTTAAAACCTAACATTGTGATTTGAAATGAACCAAGATAAGAGATTACAATGTGTCAACTACATATCATGGTCCTTGAGTCTTAAAGATCTCCATAAGCTGGCAGATATTCATAGTAGTTGATTTTAGCCAAAACAAACAAAAAAAAGTCATTTGTTTTCTACTCCAAGATGCTTAAACAGGCATAACTGTAATAACGTCATTATCATCCAATGTAATTTTTGTGTAGTTTTTGTGAAGGCTTGCACAACGAGTTTATGTTTAATATGGACGTAATCTAGCATCCGTTGCGTTCCTGGAATTTTAAATGATTTAGTTGCTCCATCCATTTAGGTTTACAGATTTTCAGACTGAATTACATTTCACACTAGCACAGTAGTCAAACTGCAATTATACAGAGAAACAAGTCCAAGTGACAGTGAGAGATGAGGCAGAAAAAAAAAAACATGAGATGTTTGTGTCTAGCTGTGAGCATCAATGGGATTGATTATTATCTCCCAGAGTCTGGCAGAGTTTGAGCTACAAGTTTAACTCCAGAGAGTTACAAACAAACGCAAGTCCCAATGAATAAATAACAGATTTTAGCTCCCCCTCTCTTTTAATATGTATGATGAAATAAAGAGTAACAGACTGTACAAGGAAGAACTTTGTGAGTCATTGTTGAAGCAATCACCAGAACCAACATTCACATAATACTCCAAAGTGACGCAAAGTCTACAGCAGGGTTTAGTTTCAAGAGGGAAGAAGTATCATTTTTGACAAACTGCCCAGAATTGGTTTTTCCCTGAGACCATCCAAGTTAAATCCGTCTGAATAATAACGCTGTCTGTTTCTTTGTGTGTCATGCATTGCGAAAATATTTTTTTCTTTTTGTCCAATTTGTTGGAAAGCTTAAATTCTTGTCACCAAATTTAAAAACGAGAGCCTTGCAAGTGAAAATGCATTGCGCCAGGCTCTCTTTAAAGCCTTGTTTCTGTCAGTGAAATGCATTTTATAACTGAGGATGTAGGGTTTGTTGTTACCACTTTCATACTTCAACTCCATTGAACAACACTTCTGTAAATGTTTGGGAGCTGGAGAAATCAATATCTGCACTTCTAAAGGCAAAAATGTTCTCACTGTTTAAAGATTTCCTCCACTGAACATAACAGCTTTTGTATTTTTTATGTTTCTATTTTCACATAATGCAGCGCTGCTTTCTGTGTGTGATGGGTAGGCACTGATCTCAAGGTTGTTTAGTTCTCGTCACAAACACCAGCTTATTTTACTTTTTGCTTGAACTCTTCTTTGAAAGACATGAAAACCACCCATCCTTTGTGCACACATGCAACTGCATATTGCCAAACAATGTTGGTTTTGTTCATGACATACACTGTCAGATGGTCCTCGTCTTCTCGGCTATGCAGCTACGATTTAGATCAACAATGCTCACAAGACAATTTTAAAGGAGCCCAACATGGAATATCCCATCATTCTTTTCATAAAATGATCAAAATGTGATATTTTATTTTCCCAACAATTCCTCACCCTATTGTATTTCAATACTATGCATTTCTCATCCAGGCTGCCTGTAAAACCCATCTCTGCCTCTTTTATACACTCCTAATTCCTATATATGATTGTTGTGGGGGGTGTTGATACTTTCTTCAAGTGGTCAACGAACAAAAGGTATTGTCAACTGTAGACCAGTCAACATTTAATCACAGAGTCTAACATATAGCAGACCAGACCAGAAAGCATGAATTAGACCAGAGGTTCCCAAGCCTGCCATTGCAGGGGAGGCGAGGGAAACAGTCTGGATTAAAAAAAACCCAAAAAAAACATGAACATGGCCAACTCTCTGTTATTCCTATGTCAATTTGATACAATAGGGGCTTCCACACTTCCCATATCTGTGTCCTCTGTCACGTTTATCAGCAGTTAAAACTGTTTAATCCGTTAACATGTCGTAACCTGTTTTTCCGAGCAGCCTTTACACGCAACATGAGCGCTATGATGCTCACGCTGGGTTTACACCTGTGCAGCAGTGAAGGAGACCTGCTGCTGCTGTTCGGAGCTACGCAGGTGTGTGTTGGAGTCATGGCAGCAAACCAGCAAAACGCAAATAACTTTTCAGTTTTTCCCCCAAACTAACTGAGTTGAGTAAAGTTAGCTAAAAGATGACTAGCTAATGTCAATACAGCGCCTTAAGCTTGTTAACAAGTAGCCTGTAGGCTACTGGTGTTGTCTATGTTCAGCTACGATTCATTTTGCCCCCAAAAAAGTTGATTCCCCCCCCTTGTTCATCTGGAGCCCTTGTTCGTAGAACAGGGAGTTCTCTAAGAATCCATCCCCCACTCCCTTCGCTCACACACATCGTTCAACCAGACAGCTATTTGTAAGCCATAGGAGGGACCCAGAAATAGTTTGGAAACCACTGAGTTAGACCTTTACCTCTGTGGCACAATTTCATGTAAGTGTGGTTCCAATTCACCCAACTGCATTGTAAACATGTATCCCATGCTAGGGTAGATTCTTTTTCACATATATTTGGTGAAAGATGTTTTTATTATTATTATTTTTATTCAAACAATGTTTACGATTACATTTTGTGCTTTTATCGAACAACAGCCCATCTGTAGTTTGTGCGGAAATTACCTGGCTAAACATGTTTTCATCCAGGTCGTTTTCAGCCGCTCGACGGCTCTTTGTAGCATCGGTAGGGCACTGCAAGCAGGAGACAGAAAAAACACATTACTGTATACTTTTCACTCTGTCAGGTGACCTTACGAACAGTAACGCCAATAAAATGACAAAGTGGTAGCACAGCATTACATTTTTTTGATAGCAAAGGCCTATTCACTCGCCCTTATGCCAGCAAATCAGCTTATTAGCTGGCGCAAGTTAGCATTGTCCAAATGTCAAATGGATTGGAAAGGGATTGGTGTTGACCTTTGGTTATAAAATAACTACATAAAAGCTAGGAGTCCATTAGATGTCATTGCACAAATAATTACATTAACTTTTTCTTCTGCTAAACTCAAACATCATCTTCTTAGTTATGAGGGTTTGAACTGAAACACAAATATGTTTGCATAGTGAACGGGAAATGATGCAAGGCTGCGAGGTTGACATGCATATAAATCATACAGGTTATGTTTTGTACATCAAGAGAGTAAAATCTTTTTCATTTTTTTCATGCTCAGTAAGACTGGATGTAAAGCTCCTGGCAATATACAGTAAATGTTCAAGTCATGCCAGAGACTGAATTGTATTTAGGCTTGGCCTTTTGCTGGACCGATCTGACGTGGATTAGCTTTGATGCGAACAATTCTGTTCTCAAGTCTCTTGTAGCCTCTCGCAGGATTTTCCTGTGTTTTCCTCCAGCTACCTTCCCATCAACTCTACCTGGCTTCCCTGCCAATTCTGAAGGGAAGCATTCTCACGGAATGACGCTGTCACCTCCATTATTTCACTGTGGAGATGGGCGGAGAAGAATTTGCAAAATGCGATCCCATCAAAGCACCTTCTTCCAACATTTTATGTCCCTTGTGGCAAGGGCAAACTGAAATTCTCATCCCTTTTTTTCCCAAATAGTAAAGTTCTTCTTGTCGTTGTTCAACGAAAGTCACATTTATGGAATGGCTCGCTAAAAATTGTCTTGTTTATATGCTCTATCTTCAAACAGTAGCTTCTCCAGGGTCACTATGGAACTCTTGTCTTGGGCTCTATAATAAGATGAGTTCTCGAGACAATTCGTTGCGCTCGATTTTAGTTAGGAATATCAGAGTTAAAAGAGCAAGATATAAACGACTTTTTACATCCATTAATCATTTCCATTCCTACTTGAGTTTTGTGGTCATAAAATTTCAAAAAGTTCAAAGGAAACCAACATTTTTTGCACGGCCCTGTTAAGTAAGGAAAATGACCAACTGGGTATAATTACAACCAAATGACGCAAATAAAGTGTGGGAATAAAGGAGGCCAGAAACCAGAACACGACAATTGTACAAAATGTGGTTCATGTTCTCCACTGTGCTAGTTGTCTTTAAAAATACTTCATTTGCCACAGGTCTACAATTTTACACACTTGCCTCTGCAGTTCTGAAGCCAAATTTAGCTATTGCTCAGAGGAAGCCCCGCAGCACACGTACAAAGAGCTAAAGTGTAATGGTTTTGTTCTACAAGCCCATGCAATCCATTTTACAGCAGGAAGTCTTCACTGCAGAAGACTTAACTTTCAAACAGCCGAGGGAGCATGTGCCCCGCCCTTTTTGACGTCCGACTCCTTCAATCTCATTTGACATAAGAAAGCACAAACACAAAGGCAACGTAGGTAATAAAACCCCGGAGAATTATGTTGGAAAAAAAGCAGATTAGGAGTTAAAGAGTTTTCAGCTCAAAAACAAACTCCTGAAGTGGATGATTGCCATTCTCCTCATATCTGAGCAGGCTGCCGTTCTGTTAATCAAATGAATCTGTTTCCAATTTAATAAGTCTTTGGAGGTGTGCAAACAAAAACCTAAAGACAGAGAAGAAAGAAATCGAGCGGACGGGCAAGAAACGAGGGAAACGGTGCAGAATATATTATTAAAGCCCTTTGCTGTGGCTGGAAGCAAGATGCCTTAAATTAGATTTGTATTCACAGCAAGAACATGTTTTACAATCAACGCTGATGAGACGTAATTACACAGTATGCAATTATATATATATATGTTCTTGAAATACTCTGTAGAACAAATAGACAACTGTTAAATATTGTGTTATGTGGATAGCAGTCTTGCTGCATCTTCAATATAAGGCAGCCTATTTTTTATATAATTATGACAGAAGCTGGAAGAAAATGCAGCAAGTATAGCAACATGAAGACAAACCATTGGTTATTAACTAGAGCAAACCTCAAGAGCAACCCATAAGTTCCCTTATGGTCTTTCATTTAGATAACACACACTCAGCTTTTTGTGCATCTGCTCACTAGAAGCCTTCCAACACCATAAAGAAGCTTTAACAAGTGCCCAGTGAGCATTTTTTTTCTGGCTAAAACATTGACTGATTTCAGTTCTTCAATATGAACAGCAGAACACATATAAATATTCAGACTCATAACGCATAGGTATAATTTTAAAACGTTTATTTCTGCTTAGTTTATGAGGGCTTACAGCAAATGTTATATTATTGGAAAATCACTAATCCCAATGAAAAGCTTTTCTTAAATAATAAAATGGCATGATCATGGCCTACACAGTCATGTGAAAAGACTGCTGACAGGACAGTTGTTGTCCTCACACCGTCCACAAGAATTGTAAAGCCACAAATGGTCATCAATATAGAAACTGGTGGCGTTCGCAAATACTTTTGCATTATTTCTGCAGGAATATTGGTCTGGAAAAAGTGCACAAGCAGCATGGATGACTCTGGCCGTGAGAGAACTGTAAAGCAAAGCCCATTTTAAAGTTTGGAGGAGGTTCTTAAGGCGTGGACTAGGACAGCGAAAATGGCTCTTTTGTTAAAACCATGATGAATCATCCCCACCTCTAACTTGACCCATAACCCCAAATGTGTCATCCATAAGATCAACAGCAGATTACATGTCTGTCTTGTAGTTTATTAGTTTTATAATCAAATGTGACAAGGAAAAGGACTCAACTTTGTCTTCACGCCACTCAAAAGGCTCCACTAGTGCTTTAGTCATTCGCAATTCTTGTTTTCTCGTTTTTACAGCTAACCTCATGTGGAACCCTTATCACATACTCTAGAGCAGGGGTGCCCAAGTCCAGTCCTCGAGAGCTACCATCCTGGAAGTTTTAGAAGTGTCCTTACTCCAACAGACTGGGATCAGCTCTACAGAGGCCTGATAACGAGCCATTCATTTGATTCAGGTGTGTTGAAGCAGGGA